GGACCGTTATCAGTGTCTATATATCCAAAAAATCGCTTTATGGACAATATAAAGTTATCCGCAGGTTCCATTACTCCGTGATGCTTGCTTGTCTGAAACAAATATTAATAATAAATTTGTTACTACATATAGCATTAACATTAACGATGCACCACATAAAATCAAATCATAATATACTTTTTTACTCTTCTTGTTATCATCTTCAAGAAGTTCTTTAACGCGACTTTTTTGTGTATGTAAAACTAGAGAAGAAGGAATATTTTCAACAGCTAGTGCTCTTGGCTTTTCTTTAAAAAATCTATAAATGTTCCATCTTTCAATCACAACATCTTTCTTTATAGTAGGATCTGCGTTTCTACGAAAAGATTCTACTTGAATTTTGTGTTTTTCTTCTTCTGCAATTGCAAAATTTTCTTGTACAACAGCAATAAACATATTTAGGAGAACGACTATACATGCGAAAAATAAAATTAATATTTGATACCACAAAGGTCTGAAATTAAAATTAATGATTTAATTAATGATCTTATTAATGATCTTAAACACTTACAATTTGATAGACCTGTGTAAAAGAGAATAAATAAGGCCGCTATGATAGAAGTAGCAACAGAACCACTAACAGATTCATATTGAAAAACATTATAAAGCACAGTTGTCCAATCACTTGAAGAAAAAAGCTTTAAATAAAAAAAATATATTAACAACATGAAAGTGTTGAACAATATATTACATGTTATATAATTACCTGAAACATAGCAATGAAACCATTATAGATATCACTAAAAGTCATAATTATTGGATTTGAACTACTATCAACGTTAGGGATTGACCCACGTAACAATTGTATCACCTATATAAGTATAGATTACATTTATTATATTAATTATATTAATTGTCGCTGAAATTAGCTGATACTGAAATTTGGACCTATTTTGATATGAATTTTATACAACATTTCTGAGAGAGATCAGCAGAATATCGGTCGTCGATTTGCGCGTATTTCACCTTTCGGATGCCTATTCTTCCGATAGGTGAAATACGCGTCCGATATTCTTCTGATCCCTCTCAGAAATGTTATAGAAATTTTAAAATTCGACATGTGGTTGGGTTAAGGTTTAGGGAATTGATGATTAAAGAGTATACATTGATTTTAGCAGGACTTATATTTTCGAATCGAAACCTCAAATTTCAGCATCAGCATTAGTCGTGACAATAATTTAAATTTCATTACTCACAGCTACGGCCGCAAAAAAATTAATCATTAAAATAAACAGAACTAAATTAGCCAGACCCGCAACACTGCCTAAGACTGACGTCTAAAAATAAGAAACGGTT